GATCTTAGGATGAAGTGATATAAAAGAGAGTGAGGGAGGATGTGGTGGCTCATACTTGGAATGCTAGCATTCTCAGAGGCTGATGCAGGAGAATCACAAGTGTGAGTCCAGCCTGGGCAACTCAGTGACTTAGCAAGACCCTATCTTAAAATAAAGAAAAAAATTTAAAAGAATGGGGGTGGGGTGGGGTGCTGGGATTTAGATCAGGCCTGACTGAGGCTGTGAGTTCAACCCCAGTACCACAAGAAAGAGTGAGAATTTGATTTTAAAGAACCTACAGGAAGAATGTTTCGATTTTAATTAAACTGAGATAGTCTGTGCTCATTTGGAGATGTAAAATGGAGTTTTTACAGGAGAATGTTCAGATTCATCGAACATAACCTTGAAATTGTCTCTTCTTTGATTTCTGGAAATTAGCAAAGGTTGCCAAGTCTGTAGAGTCAACTTCCTTAGATATCATTAAGATAATGTACCGCTTGGCAGAGAATCCTGAACACGCCGCCCTTGCTCCGGCTGGGATGCTTTCTGCGGGGGGGGGGGGGTGAGAGACACTTGGGCGGTGCCACAGGGACTGTATTCTTCGCAGTGTAGGTCTAGAGTAGGTTCAACGTGGAAATAGAAGCCGGTTTTTTATTCCACTACCAATCCTTCTAATTAATGCACTACTTTGAGCAGGACAGTTAAGCATTTATGAACCAAATTATCTTATTTGTATAAAGATCACTTCTATATCCTCAATCATAAGATCATCTGAAACCCACTAATTAGAAAAAGATGTTTAGTTACTGTAGTATTGGATTGAATCTGGTTATTCAATTCTATAATGGCCATTTACAATGGTCTCAAAATCTATTAACAGTATATTTTAAAGCCTTGGATTAATATTTGTGTGGGCATATATTGGCTATGTAAATAATAACATAGACTTGAATTAATTTAAACTCCTCTGTTTACCCCTACTTTTGTCTTTGATGTATTTTCTTACATAGAATCAGATATTAAAAATATATAGTAAAGTATTGACAAAAATCTAACCAAATAGATCATGAGTACTGAATATAAATGATTTTGTTTTCATGTTTGTATCTACATGTTTACTTGTAATAAATGTTATTTGACTAGTTTGACCTAATACTTCATGTTAAGTCAATTCAAATCAATTTCAAGAGACAAAGATTAGACCAAAGAAGTGTTTGCAGTCTATATCTATGCAAAGGAGTAGTAAGCAGACAAAAAAGAAACATGGAAGCTCTGCACTAAGTGAAAGAAACAAGTAAAGCCTTCAAGATACAGTGAGAAAAAAAATCAAAGTGTAGAACAATGTGTATACTAGGATACCTTTCTGATAATGCGATGCAACTGAACAACATGTTTCCAAAATGCATTGGGAAATGTAAATGGTCAGGAATAGTCATAAATCTTGCCAAAGCAAGAATACACAATTCCATGGTCCATTATAAAGACGAAACAATTAAAAGGCTATATAGTTAGGACTGAGTCAGACAAACAGACCACAAAGAGGGTACAGGAAGAGACATACTCATACACAATCACATGACTCCTGACAGTAGTGACAGTCCAGGGCACTGAAAAAAGAATGACTGTTTCAATAAATGTGGCTGAGTTAAGTGAATATTTGAAGGAAGGTAATAAGGCTTCCTCCAACTAGATTGAAAAACAATGCGTGCAAGGTAACCCATGAGCCAAGCAAACAAAGAAAACACCTTCATGTCCCTAAAGTAAGCAAATGGTTGCTAAAAGAACAGAAAAAAACACGAGCTCTAAGGGGAAACAAATTAATAAACTGAGCTATATTAGAACGAAGAATTCTTGTAGTGACCATTAAGGATAAGAAATGGCAATGCACAGAATGGAAGAAAATGTAAGTCCAACAAAGGACTTAGGTGCTAAATATAAAAAGAATTCATGCAGAGCAACAAGGAAAACACCAGTACAATGGAAAACAGGTAAAGAATAGGCACGTTCCAAAACAACTTCCATAAACAGCCAACAAATACATGACAAAATGCTCAATTCACTATTCATCAAGAAAATTCAAAGTAAAATCTCAATGTAATACAGTACTAAATAGATACTAGAGTTGTCATAATTAAAAGACATTAAGTATCCATTGTGGGGGAGGATGTAGAGCAAATGCAATTTTTATATTCTATTGATGGGAGTATAGCTTGGTAAACTACATCGAAAAGTTGTTTGGGTTTCTTATGACCTAGCTATTCCACTCCTGAATATATAATCAGCAGAAATGTTTGTGTTTATTACCTAAGTCAAAAGTATAAGAATGTTAATAGCCAAATGGGATCGTATCAGGCTAAAAAAACTTCTACACAATAAGGGAAACCATTCACAGAGTACAAACACAATTTAGAGAATGGAAGAAAATATTTCCAAAGTATACATCTGATAAGAGGTTGATATGAGGAATATATAAATAATCTCCAAATTTCAATTGCAAAAAACAAACAAAACAAAAAATAACCTGATTTTTAAAAAAGGGGGGCAACAGACTTAAATAGACATGTCTCAAGAAAAGCATACAAATATATCCAACAGATATATGAAAAAGGATCAACATCACTAATCATTAAGGAAGTGCAAAGCAAAACCAAAATAAGACAGTATCTCACCACTGCAAGAATAGGTATCACAAAAAAACCCCAAAAACTAAAGATAACTTGTTGGTGGGGCTGTACATGCCCATTATGGCAAAACACTACAGAAGGCCTTCAAAAAGTTAAAAATGGAACTACAATGTGGTTCAGCAATCCCACCATTAGGTTTGTATCCAAAGGAAATGAAATCAGTCTATGGAAGAGACACCTGCACTCTCGCATTCAATGCTACACTATTCAGAACAGCCAAGAAATGAGAACAACCTGAGTGTCCATCCACTGACAACTGGATAAGAATATGTGTGTGGTTCATATAAACAATGAGGTAATATTCATTCAGAAAAAGGAATGAAATGCCGTCATTTGGAACGACATGGATGGAACTGCAGATCGTTTTCTCAAGTGAAATAAGCCAGGTACGAAAAGACAAGTAAGTACATTATGATCTCATGCAGATGTGGAATCCAAGCACGGTGATCTCAGAAACTGCAAACAGGATGTTGGGTGCTGCAGGTGGAGGAGAGTCAGGATAGAGAAAGCGGCTGGCAGGGACGCCAGGGCGAGCCAGGAAGGAGAAGCTGTACCTACAGATAACAATCCAATACTGAGCATCTCGAAACTCTAGAAGAAAGGACTTTGTTTTTATGGTAAATGACAAATGAGGGGCCAGATGCCTTTAACCTGACTTAAACATTACGCAATGTATACTAGTATCAAACACAGCATGCTACTCCATTTACAGGTACAACTTTTATGCTTTATGTGTCAGGTAAAAATAAACTCAATATTAAAAGAGATGTTAGTAGCGCTATTTGTAATAACCTAAAGTGGATACCATCAATTAGAATAGATAGAAAATTATCATATATTCTCATAAGGGCATACTGTAAACCCATGAGAATGCATGATTTATTGCTGTACATAACAACCCAAGTGACTCTCACAAGTACTGTCAGGCAAGAGAAACTAAATAGAAACACACACGTATGATTCCATTCACTAAAAGTTAAGAAGTCAGCATACCAACATTTGGTGGTTAGAAGTCCATAATGGACTAAAGGACATGGGTAGGGAGAAGTTGGGAAGAAAATTACAGCAAGAAGGCAAGAAAGGAGCTCTGGGGTGCTCGTTTTGTTTCTTCACCTGTTTCTCGGAGTGCATTCATTTTGCAGAAATCCATGGAGCTATACAATTATAATTTGTTTACTTTTCCATGTGCATTTTATGTGTCAATCCATAAATTGAAAAACAAGAACTAGGAACAAGCTTGGAGGTGCTTTGACTAATCAAAGTTGGGTCAACGTAAATATCAGAAAGGATAAGGTCAGCAGTGCATTGACATAGATCAGTCACATAAAATCTAGAAATTTATAATCACAGTAGGAAAAAAAATACATTGGTCACCTTTGAGGATATTAAGGGACTAGTATGCCATTCTAAAAACTGGTAAAATAAAGAGATATAAACATTATCCTGCCTTTTCTGCATGAATTATATTCTAGGGTAATAAAACAATTGATGCAAGAACACTTTTAGTTTAAGTGTTCCAGATAGTAAATGCAAGAGGAGTAATAGAATTGGAAAATCACCATTGTAAAAAAATAATGGTGTGTGTCTACTGATACATTAAGAAGCGCATGGCATCACCTAGATGAATCTGACACTAACCAGCCCTAAACGCCAGTTTATAGGAAACAGGGCTGATAAAAGAACAAATTAAATGAATTCCAAGAATGGAATCAGCCATATTCAACGTGTGGAAAATGTACAGGACAAATGACTCGATTTCTTTTTTTTATATGCCATAGAAGATAAGGGAAAGACTGGCTATGACAGATGGAACTTGAAGGCTCTCACAATCAAATCAATTTGTGAACTTATCTCGATGCAGATTCAAACCAACCAATTTAAAAGATATGCTTAAATAAACCAGAAAAGTTAACATGGAATGAGTATTAATGTCATCAAAAAATAGTAATGTGCTGTGGTTAGGTTTTTGTAAAGTCATCTCTTAGAGATATTACTTATTAACGGATAAAATGATACAACCTTTGGTGCTTGCTTCAAAAACCTCCAGCAAGAGCAGGAGGTGCGGTGGGCTGGGTGTGGTGGTGCACACCTGTAGTCCCAACACTCAGAAGGCTGAGGCAGGAGGATCACGAATCTGAGGTCAGCCTGGGCTCCATAATGACTGTGAGGCCAGCCTGGTCTCACAGTGAGATTCCATCTCAAAACAGAAAAGGGACAGGATAGTGGGTCTATAAAACCCAATTAGCGATTAGCCAATTGTTGATAATCATCGATAGCCTCGTGTGGACACTGTGGCTCACTCTGAGGATGTTTGGAATATCATACCTAAGGACTTACCCCATCCTTAGCTGTCACCAGGAGATCAAAGCTGGCTGGGTCCCTCTCCCTGTCCAGGTCTTGCGACACACAGATCTGACCAGTGTGTGGGTCGATCTGGAACACTGGAGGAGCCTCATCGCTCTGGAATCCATCGTAAAGCGAATACTCAACACAGCCATAGAGCCCCGCATCTGCATCAGAGGCTTGTACCTGGAGGCAGGAGAGACGAGGTTACTCAGGGCACTGCTCCATTGCTGCTCACTGCCCCTTGTGATGACCGACTGCACAACCAAGCGACCCCAGGACTGCTGAGGAAGCACAGGCTTTGGTTTTCCCTCTCCCTCCCCTCTTGCTGTCCCTGCCACCTCTGTTTCCATTTGTTCTTCCCCTCGTCATTGTTCTCCTTTTCTACCTCCTTGGCGGCCCTCTGATACCTCCACACCAGCCCCCAAAGTCTGAGCTTCTTCAGGCCTGGGCTCTTTTGTTCCCTTATTCCTTTCGGTGAGCCTAACTGATCTCATGGGAGGGTATGGAAACATCCACATGGCCATGAAGACTTTCCAGTGCACGTGGTGGCTCTTTCTCCTAGTTCCCATCTCAATGTGCAACCCCACCCTTGAAGCGAAGCAAGAAGACAAAGAAATTGAAACAGCAAATGGCAGTAGAATTCCAACCCCATGATAGAGTTCACCGAAGGGGGTAGGATTTTCATCTCCCAGGCTGGGTTTCCTTTGAGGAGCAATACCCCAGCCAGGGGCCTGCATTTGAGAACGATGCCAGCCCACTCTGTTCTCCAGAACAGGTGCACAGTCATGGGGTGTGAACTGCACACAGGAAAGGGCCTTAGTTCTTATTCCAGAAGTGCCTTTCGTGTTAGCAGAAGTCTTGTGCCCAGGAGAGAGAATGAAACGACTGGAATTATGAACACAGCTAGCATACTGACTGTAGTATATATTCCACAGTCCCCCTTATCTGAGGGGCAGTGCACTCATTCCAAGAATCACACTCATACCTAGAACTACAGATAGTATCAACCTCTATATATACTATTTGCTACGTATTTATAGCCACAATAAGGTTTGATTTATAACTTAGTAGCAGTAAGAAATGAACACTTATAAATAATAAAGTAGAGAAGGGCTGTATAAGGTAACAGACGGTATCACTAGGACACTGGCATCTGTTGAGGAGGTGGTCATTCAGCCCCACCCCAACGAGCAGCCAGTGTTGGTAATCTGACCTCGATTACCAGGCTTGGGCTGTAGCTCAGTGGTAGGATGTTTGACTAGCATGGCCCATCTCTAGTACTAGAAAAGGAGAAGGAGGAGAGGGAGGGGAGGGGAGGGGGAGGGCAGGGTGGAAAGCAGCACAGTGAAGAATTAGGAGAGCGTGCTATAACCGAAGTTACAGTGAATGTGGCTGCTGTGTCTTTCTCAACTGCCATGGGCCAGGCGGCAAACAGTGGATTCACCAGACCAATCCAGACCAAGAGATAATTTGCCTCCCAGGTAAGATCAGAAGGACGGTGCACTATTTCCTCCTACTGCAAAGCCTGGTAATCGAGGTCAGTCCTTACGCTGTCAGTCACTCAGCACCTTTCACACAGCTGGTCATGTCCTCCTCACTGAAACATGCCTCCCCCCAGCACCTGACTGACCTGCCTCAGTTTCCTTACTGGCTTTGAGGTCTCTGTGACCTTGAACGGACTGCTCCTCTTGTCAGCCCACACTGCCTGCTCGTTGGGGTGGGGGTGGGGCTGAATGATGCCTTCCTCAAAAGATGTCAGTGTCCTAGTGATACCGTGGATGATTAAAGAGTGACTATCACCTTGTACAGCAAAATGGAATTGATTTAGAGACTGCAAAGGGAGGGGTTTATCTGGATTATCCAGGCAGGCCCTGCATACAATGACAAGTGTCCTCCTAAGAGTGAGGCAAAGGAAGGTCTGACAGGTGGAAGTGTAGGAGGCGATGTGAGCACAGAGGCAGAGGTAGAAGGGATGTGGCTGGGAGTCGAGGAGCACCGACAGCCAGCATGTAGCGCAGGGCAAGGTCCGAAGGCTAGAAGAAACAACGGATCCCCACCAGCAAGGAGAGCCGCACAAAACAGCACGACCTTGCTGCATTCAGGATTTCAGTTCCCAAAACTGTGAGCAACTCATTTCTGTTGTTTGAGACCATCGAGCGAATGGTAAATGATTACACTGGCCCCCAAAAGCGAGTATGCCCCCTGAGCGATCTGAACTAGCCCCATGGCACTAAGCTAACCTCCGTGCCGATGACGTCCGATTACACACCTGCACTCTGCTCCAGACTCATGTATCATCCTCCTGACCGTCAGTACTTCCTCTTACCTCTCCCACGCAACGCGCTCCATCCCCACTTCACTGCGCCTCCAGCTCTGCCTCCCTTCCAGTCTTTTCATGTTTTATCCAGCATCAAAAGATGTACTGTTAGAGGACACCAAGTAACGACTGTCCTGCTCAGAATCTTCCACTGGCTTCCACTACAGCCAAGAAAGCCCCACCCTTGACTACCATCCTGTCCCCTAGCTCTGTCTCTGACTTCACCTCCCACTACTCTAGCATGTCCTCACTCTCTGCTTTCCACATACTGGGCTCTTGGATGGTTCTAGAACTCATCGGCATGTTAGGCCTTTGGGCTTGTGGTCCTTTCTTCCTGGAAGGCTTTGCCCTCACACTTGAGTATAACTTGCTGCCTCATTTCATTCAAGTTTTTATATAGACCTCCTGATCACCCAGGCCTTCCAGATCGGCTACACGAAGAGCATCACCTTCATGTCTGCCATACACTTTCTTTTCACCCCAGTTTACTTTTCTTCTCAGCAATCATCTCTACTTTATGCTGCATTGTACATTTTTGCTTATTCATTACTGATCAAATGAATCTCATCTCGCTCTGGATCTCCAGCACTTACAACATGGGTACCTGTTGACAATGAGAGGTACTCCACATGCTTGTTGCAAGAAAGAATGAATCAAATAGTATGCATAAGATACAAACATCCAGAAGAATAATTTTAATGACCATTCTGCCTATTTTACCCATGGAGGAAACATGCAAGTATAAAATGTTTCACAATGTAAATCACTGAAGAGTAAGTTTTTATTCCTTAGACAAGGTATTAATCAAGTTTATCAACTCATAAAGCTTTTTAAAAGCCAGCAAAAAATGGAACAACTAAAATCAGCTAGACAAAGGAAGGAAAAAAAGTTATCAATGCCTGTAGACCCATGAATAAGCTGGAAACAGAACTGTGCTTTAGCTTTACCTTTTAATATGTATTTTCAGAGAAGCTGATATAACTATTAGATGAATAGGCTGAATACGTATCTTCAAGTTACAGTCAAAAATCATTAGGATAACATGTATATATTATCTTAATTAAAGAAGGGATTAAGAAACCACGAATCCTATTACTTAATTATCATCTTCTCTCTCAGACCCCAAAACAATCTGAACCGATGGGATGGGAGGAAAACTTGTTGTAGGAAGTGTTTCAAACTAAACAATTAAAATGGTGTGATCTACAAAAGAACTGCCAGGCACAGTAATTGAACCAAAGACAGGATTTGAAGCAGATCTTAGTAAAACTGGATTTTTTAGGATATCACAAAGGACACCAAGGAGGAATGTGGGATTATCCACATGAATTGCTAGAAAAATTGGCAAGGTACATGGGGAAGAGTCAAGTTTGATATTTATCTCATACTGAAATAAATTCTAAATAGGTAGACTAAATATAAACAATAACATCATCTAACACACAAATATGTATTTCACTGATCCTTACACTGAAAAGAAATTTCAAGACGAAAAGGTGCTTTAAAAGAACAATGATGAATAACAATAACAAAGTGAAAAAGTTAGTACAATGGCTACCCAGGAATTTAATACTTCATTATGTAAAAAGTATTGTACACAAAATATGTAAAGGAAAAATTAGGTTTAGTATCTGTAACAAATACATGGAAATAAATTAATGTCTAATATAGAAAGAAACCTGAAAAAATAAAAATCATACTTATTGCCCAATACAACAATAACAACAGCAACAAAACAACAACAAAATAGCCAAAGTACATGAACAGGCAACTCACAGAAAAATAAATATATTTAAGGTATATTCAGTAGTGATGAAATTAATGAACTAGAAAATAACATTTTTGCCTTGCACATTAGAAACCATCAGAATAATGTATTAAGTGCTGGAGAAGATTTATCAGATAAGCTCTCATTTGTATAGCCCATGTGGAAAGGAACTTTGCGTCATATACATTGTATCAAACATCCTCCCACTATCTAAAATTATTTATCTCCTTTGACTCAGCATACTTTCAGGAACATAGATAGAAAGAAGATAAAAGTTATAGTATGATTTATTCAAGAATCCAAATGTCTAACAATAAAACTTATTCAAAATTGTCATGAAACTGTACAGAGACACAGATAAAATGCCCATAATGTATAGTTTTATCTTTAAAAAAAGTTACATTTAAAATATTCAATTTATCCCAATCCAAAAATGGGCATCTGAAATGAACAGACATTTCTCACACAAAGAAGTAGAAATAGCAAATAAACATACGAAAAAGTGTTCAACATCACTGGTCATTCGAGAGATGCAAATGAAAACAATGCTGAGATTCCACCTCACCCCAGAAG